GGGCGATACCCGGGGTTTCCAGGCGGCCCCTCCCTCCAGCCTGCGGACTGGACTCCGTGGGCTTCCCCGGTTCCTGGAATGAGCCGATGGAAAGGGTTCAATGAAGACTTAATGATCGCCCGCCGCCCGCCGCCGCCACGGCCAGCGCCCTTCCTTCCCCCGCAGCTCCATCCACGCGGGACAGGCGCTCGGGTGAGGTTTCCACACGCAGACACGGTGACGGCACCCACAGGCCTCCGGGAGCAGAGGGCCACTTCCTGTGTTGGAATTAGGGGACGTTTTGATGACGCCACGACGTAGATGGAGAAAACATCGAGCATATAGTCTGGGGGGAGCCTGTGAGAAACTTTGGGTCAAAGCTGCTGGGAAAGTCTGGCCTCAGACGAGCAAGGCCAACGTGGAACCACGCCAGGACGTTTGGACTGCTGCCGCGGACCGACCTCGGCTGGCCATCCAGGCCCTGGTCTCTGAGGACAGCAGGTCACACCCACCACCGTCCGGGGGCCGAGGGGGAGTGTGCACTCGGAACCTGAGCCCCACCAGGTCTGAGGGACCCCACAGCCCTCCCCACTTGGGCGGACTCTGCCCTCAGCCAGGCTAGCTTGGGCCAGCCAGTCCGCTCTCCAGAGCCTGATGAGGTCACTGAGGCAGCTGGTGTGCACCCCTCACACACGTCACCCAGGCAGCGCTCTGCCTGCCCTCCCCTGCCCCCCATCACCCACCCCTGCGGGAAGAGAGAAACTGGCCAGATTTTGTAGAATCAGGGGACACTCGGGGCTGGGAGAGGCCGTTTCTGAAACAAGGTCCACAGGGCAGGTCTGGGATGTGTGTCTTGGGAAGAGACTGGCCCTTGCAGGAAGGCCCTTGGTCAGAGACCCAGGCCAAGGCCTTGGGACCTGGGGGTGGGGAAGGGCTACCTCTGAGGGTTCCAGCCAGAATCAAGAAGAAAGACGATGACTTCAAGTGGCAAAAAGTGCAAAAGCATCTTCATTGAACAACTGAAAGCCAATGGCTTGGGACCCTCCCCCAAGGACACTCTGCCCGTGTCTTGCATGCCTCCAGGCCCCACCTCTCTGAGGGCGGGCAGAGGGCAGGGAGAAGCAGCCTCGCTCCAGCTCCCGGAATGACCCCTGGAAACGCTGCTCACAGGAGCCACAGGGAGCCCAAGGAGACCAGCAGGATGTAGCCAGTGCACAGGACAGGGCTCAGGAAGGCAGGGGGGGCCCTGCTGATGAACTTGACGTCCGTGATCTGCTGCTTGATCCATTGGGTGAAGTGGGAGGTGCTGGTGTAGATGTTGGGGAAGTGGTGCTGCTTACAGCTGAAGCTCCAGCTCTCCACCCCCATCTGGACCCACGTCTTGTTCACTTGGCAGACCAGGGAGCTGCCAGAGTTAACCTGTGAGGGGAAGATGGAGCATCAGGGAGGCAGCGGGAGGGTCTACTGCAGGCTAGCATGGACTTGCCCTTCCCCAGGCCATTGCCTCAGTGTGAGCTGTGCACCAGGTCCCTGATGATGGGCCTGGCTGGGAACCTGCTCTGCACATAGAAGCTCCACGCTGGGGCCCAAGCTCGGGGCCTCGCTGTCCTCTCCCTTCAGTCTCCTTCAAACTCCCCTAAATCTTGGGGGGCCTCCAACGGGATGTCCTGACCTTTTTCTTTCCTGCAGTCCTGGCTTGCACAGTGAGCCACTGGAAATGCACACTGACCCCTCCTCTTTTTGTGCAAAACATAAGAGTAATGTTACAACAGCATTGATCAACCCAAAGGTAACTGCTGTTATTTCTCTTGATGGCAGGTTTATGATCATTTAAAAAGTTTTACACTCTTCTGTATCATTGAAAATTTTTGTAAATTAGAAAAAAAAATGGTTCTCTGTATAGCTATAGATATAAACGATACAAAAATTTTGGTTAATCCTCACATGAGAATTTCTTCCCATTGATTTTTAGAGAGTGGGAGGGAGCGGGAGAGACAGAGAAAGAACCTGATGTGAGAGAGACACATCGGTTGGTTGCCTTCCCTATGTGCCCAGGGATTGAGCCTGCAACCGGGGTACATGCCTTGACCGGTATTGAACCCAGGATCCTTCAGTCTGCAGGCCAACGCTCTATCCACTGAGCCAAACCGGCCAGGGCAATAATGATACAGGTTTTTGTAAAATAATGCAAACCTCTGACCCACCAGTTCTTTGCAGGATGCAGCCCATGGAAAAAATTCTGGAGCATGTCCACGGGGAAATGAGTGTAAGAATATTCAGAGGAGCAGAATCTGAGACATGAAAAAACTGGAAACTACTCCAATGTGGTAGAAAGGATGGATGAACTGTGGCATAGTCATCCAAGTGAATATTGTGGATAGAGCTGATTAATGAATTAGCTGCAGGTATCACTATGGCTAAATCTCAAAAAACAATGTTGAACAGAAGTTACGAGAGGCAGAAGTGTGTTTACAGAATGAGGCCATTTATGCAAAACTGGTTCTGCCAGCACCTGGCTCAGATCCAAGCATGTACTGACTGATGTTCAGACAAGTGCAAATGACCTGGGAGGTCCTGCTACCACCACCATTCTTGTGGACAGGAGCAGAGTACTGTCACCTGCTTTTACCGACTGGGAAGCTGGAGCCCTGGGAAGGGAGACTCGTGTGAGGTCTCCCAGCGCCACGTTAAAGGAAGGCATGGCCCCTGCAAGTCCCCTCCCCGCCCTGGGCCATCCACTTCGCACCTGACAAGAGTCTACGCCCCATTCTAAGCTGGCACACAGCATCTCTTTCCCGATGAACTTCTTCTGGCCCTTCAGGAAGAGGAACTGGTACTGCTGATTGCAAATCTCACTTTTTATTATCTTGACAGAAACTTCCTGAAGACTGTAGGGGGGCCTTGGGGGCACTAAAGAAAGAGAGAAATTCTGCCTCAGCACCCTTCAATAATCTGGCACAACTTCACCTTGGGGTTATCTGCATCCCTGATGTCGGGGCAGGGCCATCTCCTGGGGGGTAATTTATTTATTTTGGGGGGAGGGTATAATTTATAAAGGCCCAGCCCATTGCCTGACTTTCGAGAAAGCTCAAGCTCATTAAGAAAACAAAGGAAACGTCTCCCAAAGGGCTTGGTGACGTCCAGGCGCCGAGAGGACACGGAGAGACGACCTCAGGGACCCATGAGGGCGAGGCCTGAGGTGGAGACGCCCTGGAGCTCAGAGTGCCACCCCCGGGGAGGCAGGACCTACAAGGGCTCCTAGATGCTAGAACCCCAGAGTGGCGCTAATAGGGGCCATTGGTCTCTCAAGGTCACAGCTGTGTGGCTGCCAAATGGTTCGGTGCCTCCTAGACAGGGCCCTTGTGCCACCTGAGCACAGGGAAGCCCACTGACATCCAGGGATGAATTCCCTGCCCTGTTGCCAGGTGACGCCTAGGCACTGAATTTGACCTTGGGGATTGGGGCCCATGCAGACCACAAGTGTCTTCTCCACGAGAGCACTTTGCTATCAACAGAGGTTGGGAGAGTGCAGCTCGTGTACGCTCAGGAAATGTTTGCTGACAGGTCGATGAGGGAAGGAGGGGAGGGAGG